TATATATATATATATATATATATATATATATATAGCACATATTTAGGCCCAAAGAGCTGAGACAAAATGCTTTAAAAAAAATACTTCATTATCAGTGTGCCATTCGAACAAAAACTCAACACATGAGAGCAACAGAAATTCGGTCCAAAATACATGAACATAATCTCATTTTCTTTAAATTCAAAGAAAAATAAAAAGGCACCAACTATTGAACCTAAACTCTTTTAAAATCACACATGGACTGAGTATAAGCTCTGAAACTAATACATTTTAAGCATGTAAAAACATGAAATCCCAACATACAGTTTGATAAAATTAAGTTTGTAGGCCAAAACAGAATTACAACACAACATTCATACATGCATATATATATCTCTCTTATATATATATAAAGGAGTTTGTGCCCTTCAAATGGTGACAAGTGTCCCATTTAGTGGTCTTAAGAAGATGACACGTGTCTCTTGTTATTTACAATTTTGCCACTCATAAAATGACTAAAATGGCCTTAATTTTTATCCTTACAATACATGTATGGGAGTGTTTTGGTAATTCAAACATTTTTTTACTTTTTCAACGATGGCTGCCGGATTTTGGGGGGAGTTGTTGGATGTAAAATAACAAAAATACCCTACGTTTTACACTGCTTTAATTCTTGTGCATGACTGAGTTACCCTTTAGATGACTCTACTTTGTCTTTTAAGGGTGGCTGTCATTGTAATTTTACATTTGGTTTGCTTTTACTGCTGAAGACTGCCTCTTACACGCAACTATCAAGTCGGTAAAACACCAAATTGAATACAATGGTGGAAAAGCAAAACTTCTCCCACACGCACCGCAAATACTTAGGTGTGCCTTGGCACACCTAGCAAGGTGTGCCAAGGCTTTTTTAAAATGAACATGTGTAAATATGTTTATACATGTTCATTTTATAAAGTAACATGTTCATTTTAAACTGCCTTGGCACACCTTGCTAGGTGTGTGCCAAGGCACACGGTAGTAGCACTGCACACG